GACCTTAGGCCTTTGACTGGGGCGATTGTACACTGTGGAAAGGAAAATGATCAGACCTTTCAGGAACCACTGGACAGTGGTTCAGAACTAATATGATTCCAGGCTGTCCAAAACATCACTGTGACCCTCCAGCAAGAGTAGGGGCCCTGTGAAGATCAGGCAGTCAATGGCATTTTGGCAAAGGCCAGAAGCACAGTGGGTCCAGTAGGCCTCCGAATCCATCTTGTTGTTATTTCCCCAGCTCCAGAATGCTTAATTGGGGGAGATACACATAGCATCTGGAGGAATCTTCACATTGGTTCCATAACCTGTGGTTGGTAAGGTCAGATGGAAGCCATTAGCTTTGGCTTTATCTGCAAAAATAGCGAGCCAAGAACAATTTCACATCCCGGAGGACTTGTAGAAATTACTGCCACTATCAAGGACTTGAAAGATGACGAGTTGGTGGTTCCCTCCACATCCCACTTTAACTCTCCTGTGTGACCCGTGCAAGAGATGAATGCGGACAAAGGAAAGATGGGTGGGCCTCAGAGAATGACGATGAATGAGCGAAAACTGAATCACATGGTGATCGCATTTGCAGCTGCGGCCCCAGATGTGATTTCCTGCTTGAGCAGAAGCAGTCCGCTCGCGTCATTCCCACAAGAGCTAAGAGAAGCCTGGAAAAGCAGCACCCCTACCTTGCAGTTCTGTTCCCAGATGGACCTCGGCAGCAAGTGTGCACGAAGATGAGTGACCAGCACTCGGGGAGAGGTCGTCGCAAAATCCAGCCCTGACCCTGGAAAAGTGGCAAGAGTCTCCAGTTACTGTCCTCGCTCAGAAAACTGGCTCAAGCACCGATTCAAGCACAGGGAGGGAAGGAGGGAGCTCTCCACCAGTTGATCAGGAAGGAGAGAGAGGAAATGGGAAGAGGAAGTCGTTGAGAAGGCAAAGGCCACCAGCCAGGCACACAGGAAGTTCTAAGCCCTCCTGGAAGGCTGGGCTCCTTGACACAGGAGCACATGGCCCTGGGGGAGATGGGGCGGTCAAGGCAGCCCTGGGGTCCTGGCCAAGATGAACTGCACGGCCCCGGCAGCTCAGGCTCCCAGCCATCCAGTGTGGTTCTACTCACCAGCTCCCTCCATGTTGATGAATTTTGACTCAAGGAAGGGGACCCTTAGTATGGAAGTGGCGCGTCTGCACTTTACCACATCCCCATCGTTATGAATCATGTCCAGAATCTCAACCATCCACATTGTACCTGAGAACAGTAGAAAAACTCCGTTCATCTTAGTCAATGGCTTTTCAGCTTGGGATATAGCTAAGGTGGGGGATATAGCTCAGTGGCACAGTGCCTGTGTCCCAGGCACGAGGTTGTGAGTTCGATTCCCAGGATAAAAAAAAAAACCCTTAAACAACCAAAACAACCCCAATGGGTTTTCATCCTGAGCGACTGCCTGTTGCGAAGAAAGCAGTAACACGAGCGAATCATTGAAGGAAGAGTCACATAGAGAGGCAGAAAAGGAAACTTCTGAAGAGCTGCGCCTTCCCTTAGTGTGGGTGCCACAGAATTTCCTGATGAAGGACTTGGAGCGCTTTCCCAGCACTTGTCACAAGAGGTTTGGAGTGTAGAGAAAACACGGCAACAAAATGTAAGGAGCATTCCCAAATGTCACACTTTGAACAGTTTTGCCCCATTGACTTATCCCGATTATCTCATATGTAGAGCATATATCATTTAATCTATGTACCCGTCTAATTTCTGTCATTTTTCTGTCTGTCAGTCATCTATCATCTATCTGCCCATTTGTGCATATCTATGTCTATGTCAGTGAACCCATGAATCACTGAGACTGTTTGCCTCTGGGAGTCTGCTTGTGTCTGTGGATCTGTCAGTCTTCTATCCAGTGAGCCATCTGTTCTCATCTTTTCACCTGTCTCAGATCTCCACCTGTGCCTGCATCTGTCCATCTTCCAGCTACTCCGCTGAGTCCATCCCATCCTCTCCGCTGTCCGACTGAACCATCTGTAGGAAGGTTTCTGACATATTTATATATTTTGTTTGTTTTTATCCTTTCTTTTTCTTTCTTTTTTCTTCACCATCAGAGAAACTTCTCTAATAACATACTATGACCCCTGAAATTATAGCCTTCTGACATATATCTTTATATTTTCTTATAAAGCTAATTGAACTTCTTGTATGTGTGTGTACATAAATTTTAAGGTTAGTACAGTATGGAATTAACTTTTTAAAACTGTATTTTAAAATGGTAAAACAGTTGTATAACAAAATAAAGTATAATAACAAGTTAATACACTGTATATTGTCATCTTCAAAATAGTTTCTCAGAGTACAAGATATAGGCATAAAAATACTCCAATAGATATTAGCATGAACCACCCTCTTCAGTGAACTAAGAGACACTAATAGTATAGCTAAGTTGAATTTTTCTCCTTTTCCCACTCCTTCCTTACCCCTTTCTGCATCCTAGTTCCTTTTTCCTTTTAAGCATGTACTTCTCATGTCATAATATCTATTGTGCATTCTAGACTTTATTTACTCTTTCAATCTCTCACACCAGGGAGACAATGCAATGTTTACACATGTGAGTCTGATCTATTTCACTTATGAGTATGGTCTTAAGTTGCATCCATTTACCTATAAAAGTCTCAGCTGTATCATTTGTTATGGCTGATTAGTATTCCAGTTTATAGTTGGGGTCCTCTTATGTGGTGGCGTTTGAAGGTGGCCTGGCTCCACTAATGTAGGGGAGAAGGGGCCAGGCACCAAGGTTGGTACTGCCGGACCACTTGCCAGGTCCTGGATTCTTCCTGGGCCCGTTGCCAGGTCCCAGGGTGGACACTGACTTTTTCTACACTCTTTATTTTGTTAGTGTATGTTTACAGCACTTTATGTTTACGTTCATCCTAGAAAGTGGGGCTATGCACTTCTTATTTGCCCTTCTCTCCTTACCAAATGCCTTTCCTCTGGTTCTTCACCCCCTTCCCCATGTTCGTGATTGTGATTATGATTGTAGTGCATGTGTGCAGCACCTAATGATGGAATCCACTGAGGGCCGTTTGTCCACGTGCAGGACACATGGACTCACTCTTGACACCACTCACTGCCCTCTTCCCCATCCTTGGTGTCCTGGTCCCCTTACTCCTTGCCTACCCTTTGTAGAGACTTCAGTCTTAGACAGCTTGATTTTGTCCTTCAGGTCACTGAAGGTCTTCACAGGTTTTCCCATTTGTTATTTCAGTTCAAGGCTTTTCTTTTCCTCTATCTTTATCTTTTTTGATATTTTATAATCTGTTGTTCATTTTTCATTTCATATATTGTAATTTTATTTTAGAGTTTTTCAACCTTATTTCAACTTCCTTTCATTACCTTCATGACATTCTTTTCAACATGTGAAAAACAAGTCACGTTCCCTGAATAACAGTACCTGTATCATTTATGAATCTGATTTTATTTGCCAATATTAGTTTCCTTGAGAATAGTATTTTCATGACAGTGGCATCATGAGCAACATCGGATCCAGACATTGTGAAGGACGGGCTCCTATGTGATGGATCCCATATCCTTGAAGGTTTGTTGGGAGTTAGCTGTACACCTGTTAGGCATTGCACATCACCTGGTTATGTCCGTTTCTCCTCATGTTATGGTGGTGCTGCAGCAGCCTTTGCCCAGGGGTGATGTGGTCCTCCTTCTACAGTGTGATTCTTCCAGGGCTTCTATCAAGTGTCTGGGGTGTCCAAGAAACCCTCTGTATCTGGCCAAGAAGAAGTATATTGCTGCTACAACAATTCACCCAATACAAGTGCCCTGAGACAGTACAGGATGACCAGCTAATGGTCTCCACAGAACAGAAGCATGGCACAGTCTTGTTGGACCCTCTGTGTGGGGCCTCACTGGGGTGCAAAGCTGGTGTCCCCTGGGGCTACCCTCTCAACTGGGCTTCAGGCCTTCTTCCAAGCTCAAATTTGTCCACAGCGTTAAGTACCTGGTGGCGGATTTTGGACTCCTGTCTCTCTTCTTTTTCAAGCCAGTAGCCACACACAAAATGTTTATTATGCTATGGAATTTTCAGGATTTCTCCTCTGCTGTGTCTCTGCTGTTCTGCTCCTAAGAGCTCATGGGATTGCACCAGGCACACTCACATAGGCTGGGTTGACCACCCTGCTGTAGGGTAAGGAGATCAGTAACTCTGAGTTCTCATGAGTGTGTGATATGAAATCTGTACATGTGTGAGTCCAGAGAACTGAGGTCATAGGAGACATAAGTCAGCCAGCCACAGGCCTGTTGGCACCTGCACAACCTCGGGGGAGCCTCTGTGTGACAATTTCCTGGTAGCCCCATCCAGATCTCTGTGTGTTTGCAGCCTGCAGGGCTCCATGTGTGTGTGGAGGGCCTTCTTTGTGTGTTTCCTCTTCTCTGCTTGTCCATCCTGCACACGAAGCCCTCCTTCCTCACACAAACACCATGTCTTGTTCCTGCAGTGACTCAGCTCCTGTTCATGAGATCGAGACACCTGCCACTGTCCCATGATCAGTGGGGGACTATATCCTGAAAGCAAAACCAATACCGACCAGTGTCAACAGCAGGGGTTTCTTATATTTTATCTAATTCTGTAGTGAATGGAATTGGAGTCCAGTCCAGTCTCATTGCTCCATCAGTACTGGCCAGGAGTTTTCATCTAATGATCACCACAACCTTGAGACATTATTCTTTTTGATGCACAGCCTATTCCACCTTGGCCACCACACACTCCTTAACGCTGGCTCCTGTGTCCTCTGACATGTCCCCACTAGGTCTGAGCATTGACTTACGTTATAGCCAACTAATGGCCTAGGTTCAGCCCCTGCATCCTCACCCCAGGACTGGGATGTCCACTCACCAATGCCCTGGTCTTTCTTTGTGAGGAACTGTGTTTTGTAATTGAGTTCTGAGCCTTAGGGGTGCTGTACCTACCAGGAGATATTTGATTCTAGGAAGTTTGAAGTTAGTTTAGAGAATTTGTAATGACTCTGAGGCTTCTCTGAAAGGAACTTAACTGGAACAGGAGAGAAAGCATTACTTACTGTCTTTCAAGAACATTGGGCAACTAGACAACCCACTTTTGATTCTTATGGGGAAGGTTTCCTCGAGTGAAGGCATATGTTGAAAAAACCAGTGGTATATTTTTCAATTTATTCACCCAAAATTTTTTTGTAAGTTATTGGTTCTACAATGAGTGTTCCTCTCCAGGGCCCTTGGCAATGTTTGGTCATCAGCAGAGAGTGCTGTTGGAAGTCAGTGTCCAAGGACCACTGATGCTGCGTGTCCAGCAATACTAGGACTGATGCATGTCAAGATCTATTCCTCTCCAATCCCCATTCCCCAACCACGATTTACTGGTCAATACAGATTATACAATTGTTTCATGTGCAAATATGGAATGTTTTTGTATGCCTTGATATAAATACCTGATTTGGGGAAAGATGCTAGAAAAATGTCATCTGGCCTGCCATGGAAATTACAGATTCTTTCCTACACTCCTTCAACTGCTTGAGGCAAACGTATATCATCCACTTCCATCATGCCGAACTGGACTGATTTCCTGTCCACTTGATGAACCTTCTTGGTCTGCACCATTGGGAGCTGGGACTGATATTGTCTACTCTATTGAAAGAAAACATTATGTTTCATGGTTCCCAGCATTTCTATCTGCCTGCTACTGAGTAGAATAACATGAAATATAACATTAAGAGCATATTAATAACTCTCAGTCACTTATTTGTTTAATCCTCATAGGAACCATATAAGCAATGTCATTTCTGTTCTCTAGATGGGATGAGGGAGCTGAGATTGGTAAAGGTTAAGTGACTGAGTAAAGAGAAATCAACCAATGATTGTTAGAGATGAGATTCACACTCCAGGTCTGTATCTTACTTCACATCACTTCTTGGGTTAGTGGAAAAGTGATAGTAATGCGTCGCGCCTTCTTCATACTCTTTGTTTTTTGGGGGGTTTTTTTGGTTTTTCTTCGGTACCGGGAACTGAACTCACGACCTTGCGCTTGCCAGGCAGGCGCTTTGCCGCTGAGCTAAATCCCGAGCCCCGTTCATACTCTTTGAAATGTTGTTCTGTGTAATAGAGAAGAGGTTCTTCTATTGAAATCATGCCAAAGCATCATTTTGAGGAACTTTCTAGAGTCAGTTTACTTATTGATTTTATGCAAAAATATTCAAAAAGAGGTTCATATATAGTTTTTGCTCATGAATGGGATCATATTCCAAATATAAACAACAGTTTAACA